GAGAGCCAGCTCTCTCTCCCTGAGAGCCGTATCCTTCCTCATGTTCATCTTCTTCGTCTCCGGCAATGTTTAGAGCCTGACCCAGCCAAAAATGTGCCAACGGGGACGTCGGGCCTCCAAGGGGGGTGGATTCTGATGAACCTTTGGGTGGGTGTGTGTCGTAAGCGAGTGCAAGACACTGACAAGCTACCACACTGGCGAGCTATGGGTGCACATTCCCACATCGCCTGAGTAAAGGAAAGGTGAAGTGCTTATATGTAGGTGTGTCACTCTAATTGGTATGAGGCCTTTTGGGGTAAAGCCCAAGAGCAAAACCGTGAGGGCTCAGGCCTAAAAAGGACAATATTATACCATGTGGTGGAGTGGGTCGTTACATTAAGTGATAGAGTTATAATGCAAGTAAAATACTTGCATATAGGAGTTTGTTTCTATGTTTTATTCTATAAATAATCAAGGAGGCATGATGTGATAGAGGTCCAGCACCCTCAGAATCCTTTAATTTATTTGTTTGTTTTCTCAAGCACTTTCCCCAAATAAAATCCTAGCTATCTCTATCTCTCCCCCTATCTATTTCAGTTTCATTCTATTTTTTTCCCTATATCTCTGTCGCTCTATCTCTTCTCCCTGTCACTTTCTATATCTATATTTTCTCCCCTTTCTATTCTTATATTATTACTATATATTATTCACTGATAAAGTCCTTTTAATTGAGGCAATTAGAACTCAAAGAGGAGTTATATTTGTTCTTTTTCTCCTCGAATCGCCTGATAGTTAATATTTTCAAAGAGACTAGCGTTGACAACTCACACTCGAACCATATAATTGGTTCTGGCATGCCTGCATTATATCAATTCCGAATCGGATCTTAGGAGCTGATTTTAGCGTCAACATTCTTGGCACTCCCGGTGGGACCCCACTAGGTGAGTGATTTATAGTAAAAATATGCAGTCAGCTTCTCAACCGACATACAAATATTCTGATCAATCAAATCAGCCGATGTACCAGTATTCTAATCAGCCATATGGTTGGCTAGACAATTATCAGCAATCAGTCACCAATTATCGGCATCTTCCAGCAATTGATTATCAGCATGTTCCAACAGTCGATTATCGGCATGTTCCAGCAACTGATTATCGGCATGTTTCAGAAGTCGCTGATTATCGGCATGTTCCAACAGAAGCCGATTATCGGCAGACGCCAACAACCGCTGATTATCGGCATGTTCCAGAAGTCGTTAATTATCGGTAGACGCCAACAGTCGATTATCCGCAAGTTCTGCTAATTATCGGCAATTGGTAAATCAACAAATGGAAGAAATAAGATCCCAACTAAATCTCCAAATGGGAGAATTTAAGGAGGCACTTGCCGATTATCGCTAGGTGGTAAATCAACAAATACCGGAGGAGCCAACAGTCGCTGATTATCGGCAAGTTTCAGCATCAGATTATTGGCAAGCTTCAGTATTAGATTATCGGTAAGTTTCAGCAGCTGATTATTAGCAGGAAAGTTGGCCAGAATTTAAGCAGAGGATGAAAACACTAATGGCTCAAATACAGGAGGAGTCAACAGTCGCTGATTATCGGCAAGTTTCAGCATCAGAATATCGGCAAGTTTCAATAGCCGATTATCAGTAAGAAAGTTAGCCAGAATTTAAGCAGATGATGAAAACACTAATGGCTCAAATACGGGAGGAGCCAACAGTCGCTGATTATCGGCAAGTTTCAGGATCAGAATATCAACAAGTTTCAGCAGTCAATTATCGACAGACGCCAGCAACCGATTATCCGCAAGTGGTAAATCAGCATATCACCCCTGTATCATAATCTTCAGTACTCGGGGGGCAGCCGATGGCCAATCATCAAGAAAGTTGGCCAGAATTTAAGCAGAGGATACGGGAGGAGATACCCAAAGAGGAGAAGGAAAGAAAGAATTCCTCTAAAGGTACTTACTACAAAGACCCTAATTATGAAATGTTCTCGGCTAAAGTTGATAATGAACTGGAAGTTGATGTTGCCGAGATTAGCATCAAAAAGCCTTACATATGTAAATCAGCATGTCAACATGGTTGCTGCCATAAATGGAAGGGTACAAATCGGCTGAAAGCAAAGCGGCCTATGTACCAGCATTCCTTGCCGATTGTGACATCTAATAATCAGCAAAAACAATCATCAGTTGAAATAATTGTTTTAACTCGCTATCTTCAGCCCAATTTCAAGAAAAGAAGAAAAAGACTAGCCGAGATTAATTTCAAGAGGATACTTAGAGCTCGGTTGAGAAAATCGGCTAAGGAAAAATTGGCTAAAAAACCAGCGGCTGTCGGGGGGCATGTGATTGCAAACCCCCAACAAAAATTAATTGATCCATACGCTCTACTTCAACCTGCCAATTATAATGAGGTCATGTTTACCAATCAATGGACTTTTGGGCATGATGCAATCCTGCCGATTGAGCTGAAGGAAAACTCAACTAAGGCAAAATCGGTTGAGATGAAATCGGCTGAAAGGAATTCAGCTAAGAAAACTCCTTCTTAGCACAATGTTATGGAGATAATAGGCAGATCGACTAGAATGACGCTCCACAATAATTTAATTCCTGCCGATCATGATCATGATTTGCTAGTGGAGTTGGAAAATGCATGGGGGGCAAGTCCTTCATTGGTTTATGGGCTGACAATATCGGCAAATTTTTTGAGAATATAGGAAGAAGCCTAAATCGGCAGATTTGGCTAATATGAAATAAAGATCATCTTAGAGGTGATTCAAAAGAAAAAAAGCTTTGGAGCTCGTTGATTTGTAATCCGATTACAAGTGACTAGCGCAACCTTTGTTCAAAATTTTCTTCCAATGTACTTTAAATTTCAAATATCTTATCTTCTTGGGTGACCGACAGCTGATAAGACATTTAAAATTGGGGACATTGTTGACACCCTTTTTGGTAAATTTTGTATTAATGACATGGCAACCAATTTGGATATAAATTGACACGTGGAAAAGGTAACAGAAACTGCATGCAAAGGTAGAAGATTGGAGAAGCTTTGAATTAACTAATGGATAGGGATCAAGTGTTAGTATTTATCTGTTAGTTGGTTTTAATTAAAAATTTATGTTTATCTCTAGGAGTAGTTTAATTTAAATTAATAGTTAATTAAGTGATAGAGTTGTAATGCAAGTAAAATACTTGCATATAGGAGTTTGTTTCTATATTTTATTCTATAAATAATCAAGGAGGCATGCTGTGATAGAGGTCCAGCACCCTCAGAATCCTTTAATTTATTTGTTTACTTTCTCAAGCACTTTCCCTAAATAGCATCCTTCCCATCTCTATCTCACCCCCAATCTATCAGTTTCGTTCTATTTCTCTCTATCTCTTCTCCTTATCACTTTCTATATCTATATTTTCTCCCCTTTCTATTCTCATATTAATACTATATATTATTCACTGATAAAGTCCTTTTAATTAAGGCAATTCGAACTCAAAGAGGAGTTATATTTGTTTTCTTTCTCCTCGAATCGCCTGATAGTCAATATTTTCAAAGAGACTAACATTGACAACTCACACTCGAACCATATAATTGGTTCTAGCACGTCCGCACTATATCAATTCCAAATCGAATCTACGGAGCTGATTTTTAGCGTCAACACAGTGACCCATATGTTAAGCACTTATATACATTGTAGTCTGAAAAAACTCAACATAGTTTAAAAAGTTTATTCTTCAGATTGATAATATGCTCTTAATATCATTAGGAGTGAATAGTGAGAAATTGGAGGATACCAAAAATTATAGATTTTTCTCATTCTACTTTTACTTGGTTTGATGAATGAAAAAAGAGGGAATAGAGGGAATAGGGAAGATGTATTACGGGATAAATGAAATAACCATCCAAATTTCGATTAAAAAAACAATCCAAACTCTGATAAGAGATGAGTGAAAAGCAGAGGGAATTGGGAAGATATATGACGATTTTCGTTTGCTCTATTTCAATTTTAAACGAATTTTCTATGAGTTTTTTATTCACTGCCATGCAGATTTTTCCTACTTCCGTGAATCTAACTTCCATAACATTTTCGTTTACTCCGTTTCAATTTAAAATGAATTTTGTATGAGTTTTTTTTTTCACTTGCTATGCAAATTTTTTCTCTAACACAATTCTTCAATTTTTTTTTTTGTTTATCAAATATTAATGATGGGTAGATTGGTCCAATTCATGAAGTTGTAAAGTTAAAAAGATCACTAAACAGTCAAAGAGCAAGTTGATCAATTCTCCATATATCGTTTCTGGCAGGTGAGTTCTTCCAACCAACATTCTTATTTCTGGCAGGTGAGTTCTTCCAACCAACATTCTTATTTATCTGCAATTATAAAAGGATACAGGACCCCAACATACAAAAAAAAATTGTGGTGGTAACAAGAAGAAAAATAAATGACCAAAGCATTGGTTATTCCCACTTTGGCCTTTTTACCACCTTTAGAACTCCCTCCTCAATTCTACAAGAGAATTTGAATTATCTGTTGCTAATATGCATTCCAGGGCAAAAGATTTCCACTTCATCTACATCAATTTTTATTCGTCAGTAGCCTTAGTTGATTTTTGCCCAGTAACTTGACCATTATCACAAACATCTTCTGCAAACCAGAGTGTAATGACTAATCTTTGCATGAGGCCGGATCCAGTGCCTGTAATACACTGAACAATCATGGTCACTCGTTGAATAGTACCGTATTTTTTTAGCACCGAACAGCCAGCCATGGTCACTCACATGTGGCACGATCATGTGTGAGTGATCGTTATTGTCCACTATAATCTGACAACCATGCCGTATTGCAAAGAATCTTAACTCATATTTTCATAATTTGTTATTGCAAATCCCTGAAAGGATCAACACATTAAACCGTTTAAAACCCTGGGATTGCATCATTCAGTCTCATTTCTTAGAGTTTATGAACCTTACGAGATCGACGCTAAGAGTAGCATTACTTTGAGAAAATCAAATCACAGCTGATCATGAATTATTAATTTGTTTCCATTTCAAGAAGAAAATTTATACATTGTACAACAAATTTCTCATGCCTCTCAGCCTTGGGGTAAGAGATCAAAACACCAGTACTTGGGGTTGGCAAACAATTTTCCCGACTATCGTGAGTGATGAGACTTGGAGAAATGGTAAGAATTTTAAAAAAGAAAAGGCAGGCTATCAAACTGTACACACAAACAATAAAATATAGTGTACAGTCTCTTTTATTTTACAGTGGTTGGAAGGTAGGGACCATATCTTTTCCAGCCTCAGATCAATTAACAGTTTCCGCTGAGTTAATTGGAAGATCTTTGGGAAGCAAGGGAGAACCAATCTGCACAAAATTGTTTGGAGTTGCCGATCTTTTGCAATTCTACACGAGCTGATTGTTTCCAAAGAAGTACTTGGAGAAGTTCAAAACATCCCAGGGTTAGCTTCTATGTTGATTTGCTGAAGGGTATTTGTTTAGCTCCTCCCTCCACAGCCTCTCTCCATAACCTGTACCTTACTCCAAGCTTATCATAGGATACCGGCCAATTCCAAACATTCGCCCCTTTCAGCATCCGATCCTGTTGGCCAACTACAAGCCGTAGATCCTCGTTCAAAACCTGCAATACATCACACTCAGAATCTAGCCAGAAAGTCGAAAAAATAGGAGGAAGAATGAAAGACTCCCTTCACCTTTTGGGGAAACTTTCATTCACTCAAAAGGTAAATCAAATCGATTTTGCAGAAATAAGACGGGTGTTTTGAATTGTTTGCACTCAAGTGGAGTCGAAGCTGTAGACCTAATGCTTCCTGAGCACCACGGCCAAGTGACTTACCCACTTGAGCCAACCCCGTGTGGTTGTCTTTAAGGTTTTATGCATTTAAAATGTGCCTGGAGGTGTCTTCAATGAGCCTCATCTCAAGCTATGATCATGGCCCAATACTAATGACTTTTGGATCACTCTAGCATGTTAAATGTGTAGTCGGGCAACTTCCAGTTAAAAATCTGAGTACAAACCCAGATCCAAGTGATCATGCACGCAACATATTTCCACCTCTGTCCTAGTGGCTTTGGGTCTTAACTTCCAAACTCTAGGTGAAGGATTCGAGACTGGTAGAGAAGAGAAGGAAAAAATTTCTACTAGGTCTGTCAATTGAAATGTTATCTAACCATGACATTTCAATCAATCACTACTACTCTCAACTTTTTTACCAGGCCTTGGAACTATCATGCAGTACAATAGATATATGAAAAAGGTTACTTCTCTAGAACTTATTTTTACCTGCTCTGCAAAATACCTCCACAGGTACTGCATGAAAGGCACATGCTTCAGCATGGGAGCAAAATCCAGTGACATTCTGTATAATAACCTAGTCTTGTGTCTGGACGAGGGTAGGCACACATGAAGTTGGTGAAGATGCGTGGAGCATTGCTCGGTGCTCTGTCCCTCCAGTTTTCCAGGCTTCGAGATTCCAATGGTTGATAGAACCATACAAGGTGGTCGAAATTCCATGTCTATTGGATAGGGGTCCCAGTATCCTTGGAGGCCAGATGTGGGCGTCAAAAATTTCACAAAGCTGACAATACAAATAAGCATGCAACATTATGATAATATTCCAAAGCATATCTTGTAAGCATCTGAATCTGGGAGTTACATTGAAGAGCTTTTGTAATGCAACATTCCATTTTCTTTCCATAGCATTTAAAAGACTAAATTCTGTACATATGAAAAGAAAAAGGAAAGTATTTGCTTTGATGCTAATTCAAAGGCTAAAATATTTTTTTTTTCTTTTTTTTTTTTTTTTTTTTTTTGCTGTTCAGTTAAATATGCATGGCTGGGTAATGATTTAAAAAAAAACTCCTTTTACTGTTTAAAATGTAATAATCATTTTAGTGAATACTGAACAAACCTGGGAACACTCCATCCTTTGGCGAAGGTTGACGTATGAGTGAAAGGGGCATGTGCAAGATCCAAAAGGTTGTCCAAAAGTAGTCCATGTTCAACTGGAAGTTCCATTACAATCTGACATTCCAAATGAAATCAGTATGAGACAATACTTGTGTCTTTAATCAGACCCTTTAAACATGCTTTGGATGCTTGCACCAATTGAAGGAATCAAAATGCATCTATAACAAACCTCGGCATGTACTTTAAATCCTGCAGGAGGTTCTAAAGACGGAATGGTCGATGTTGGAGGGTCACTGCCTGGCCAAACCCAAATCATTCCCTCTTGCTCAAAACATGGCAATGCTTTAATCTTCACATTAAGTAATTTCGTAGATGGCATTTTCTTGCATTTTCCATCAGTGGAGTACTCCCACCCTGAAGTTCATCCAGTACAGCATATGAGAAATGTGTAATCTTATCATCTAATTTTTAATAACCATTTAATCATAGTAGAAAAAAAATGTTAATGAATCATGCATTGCATAACATTATCCTCTTATTAGTCAGTATTTTTGTTAGATAGTGCATAAACATTGATTATCTCCTTTTACTGCTGCTTACCATGGTAAGGACATGTGATGCGACCCTCATTCACTGAACCAAGGTGAAGAGGACATGCTCTATGAGCACAGGTGTTCTGAACACATCCAGGTTCCCCATCTTTCCCACGGAAGATAACCCACGGTTCCTCAAAGCAATCAATTGGGACCTGAAATAGAATAACAATACGGAAATTAAAAAGGTTATCAGGTATTCATCAAGGTTTGCCATGCCATGACATTGATGGCATCACGATTATTTCAATACAAATGAGACTGCAACTCCAGCAATTTATTTCGTTTTACTTTTTCTTTTTGATCGCATCCACACCATTTGTTCTGGTAATATGGAAGGTAGCTGGATGATCAGTGTTCCACACATAAAAATGAATCACAGATTTTAGAGACTCAACTTACCATGGTGTCATCCTTCAGGTCATTTGAGAAAGCAACAGGGTACCAGAAGTTCTTCAAATGGGGGTGGTAAGGTTGAACAGGACCGGACACGTTCAGGCTTTTTTTTCGGGGCATCTTGCTTTTAACAGTATCCAAAGTTTCTGTAGAAGTACTGGGAGAAGAGGATGTGCGGTCGGATTCGGTGGTGTTTCTGTCTTGCAACAGCTTATCATTAACCAATGTTTCCATGTATGCTAGCTTATCCAAAGCAGTGGAAACCCTTGCTTCAGATATATGAACCTGTCATTATTCATGGATCAGAGATAGAAGTGCATGAGTTTGATTGTCTGATAAGTTGAACAATACAAACTACAAATGATTATGAGATTCACACCTGTTTGTGAGCTTTTGCAAGCTCTTCTTGCAACTCTGCAAGCTCCCTCTTAAAGGTGCCAACGGATTTGAAATCGCGGGCCAGAGGGTTTAATACATCTACAACCTACAACCATATCAGTGAAAGTGAGGAAAACCACAATAACAATTCAATTTTACAATAATAATATAAAATAAATAAACAACAACAGCAGCAAAATTGGTATTCAGGATCACAAGAACAATAAATATCAATACTTGGAAGAAAATGAATAATAACTCAATGACATAGAAACCTTTTCATGAAGGAGCATGATTGTAAGTAGATCTTGCCGGGCTCGCCAATCGCAGTACTGAATATCAAATCTAGCCACTTCTAGAGCTTGATTTGCATCCAAGAACTTCCCTTTATACTGAGGCACTTTGGACCTCGGATCTTCCACATCAAAAATTGCACTCCAAACGCTCTTTTTGTCCACTAATCCACCTTCCTCTCCAAGTATAGCAAACACTCCAAACCCTCCTCGGACACCCTGCAATCCCATGCCCAGCACAGTTTTAATATAAATCAACTAACAAGTAAACTAACTACCATTTCCTTCGGGTTAAATAGGTAACCCTATAAATTCAGCAGAGAGACATTAAAATCACAACTTCTTGTGACTGAACAGTTGCTTACAAGTCAACCCAACAATTTTTTGTAAAACAAAAAAACCACCCTGTACTATATTTCTCTTTATATTTACGAGATAAATATATTATTTTACCAGCGAAACTGTAAAAAAATACTTCATACTCTAATTAAGCCACAATATGACACTCAAAACAAATTATGTAGCCAAATTATCTGCTAGATTTTGCAGGTCTGTAGATTAAAGACAATAAAAAATTACAGCTTTTCAATTGAGTAAACGCATGTAAGCCACAATTTCCCAATTACATTAAAGTTTTCTTCAGATCTCAAAGATACCCAGACAAGTTAGAAACATTTGAACATTCATACTTTACGGGTTCAAATGAACAATTAGCTACTACAAAATTTACAAGTCCATTGAATTGACAACATTTTCCTCTATAATTAGCAGCTTCCCAGATAAATTCATCAGAAAAAAAAACATATCAAATGTCACACCTTTTTTGGGTACTTAGTACACAATCTCTTCTCTAAACCAATTTTTTTATTTTTTTTTATTTTTTGACAAGTAAAATTATCATTTGGTTTGGATATTTCAAGAACTTGTATTACTTTACAAGCAAATAAATAAAATAAAAAATCAAATCAAATCAATATGTTAACACTCATAAGTAAAGAACTTCTGGAAATTTTTTTTTTTTTTTTTTCCAAGTTACATCTGAATTTGCTTTTCATGTGCTACCTAACAAATCAAACAACTAAACTAAATTAACCACTAGATTTAGCAAATACCCAGATAAGCTTAACATTGATAAATATCAAAGATCACACATATCAGTGTTGATTACACAACCAAAGCTGTAATTTAGCTAACAAATTAACCAAGTCACTTGGCTCTATAAAAACAAAAATAAACTAAAATTTCTTCTAGAAATAGCAAGTACCCATATAAATATAGCAAACACGGAGGTAGAAAATCTTACCCTTTTGGTGTTAAATTTGGGCGATCGATAGAAAGAAATGGGAAGAGAGAGAGTCGCAGCAGCAGCCAAGGTGGACATGGCTGAGGGAAGCTTTAGAGAGAGAAAGAGAAAGAAAATGGTGACATTTGTAGAGAGAGAGATTTATGGTAAAAGGGGATTTTGTTGATAAGAGGTTGGTATTGCGCGCGATCTCAACTGGCCTCCTGTGGTTTGACAAGTGGAAGAGCGTGGGACTGCTCTGTTTCACTCATGGCAACTCCTCCAACCACATGCTCTCTGGCTTGTGAGTAAATGTATCTTCTCCTTGTGGGGCTCTTTATCTTGCCAACTCGGATCAACCAGATATCTTTTGGGTTCTTTATCAACTTTGTGTTTCTGTTTTTGATAATGTTGCTCTTATTACCTTTAAAATTTTAAAAAGAAAATGTTTTCGAGGAGTGTGTTATTATTATGATGAGCTTGTGCTCTCGTGTGTTGGACTGGTGGATTTGCTAAATCCCGCATTGGGCGACCCACCATTGGCCAATTATATCACGGATTACATTGGTTGTGTGAGAAAAGTCATGTCATAGTTGTATACACCCAATCAAAATGAGAAATTATTAAATTGTGACCAACATTTGATGAACCACTTAAATGCAAACCACTTAAATACAGATTTTATGATTGTGAAAATAATTCTACAAAAGTATATTAATAAATTACAAAATTTTATGATTAGAAATTTCATATTAAATTAATCCACCAAGTGTTAAATAGACCAAGACCATTTAATAATTTCTCCAATCAAATACTCTTGTAACATATTATCTTGTAACATATTAATTTTATAAGGGACAATACGTGTCTACTCATCGGTGAGTAGGTGATCTCTACTGACCGCTGATGTGATCCAATTACAAATGTACATAGCGCCTCGAGAAAAAAATAATCTATTTAATCATTTAAAATTGAATGAGTCTTGTGTCTGGTTTATTGACCATAGTAATGATTAAATTCATTTAAATGAGTCATCTGTATGGCACTAATCTTTATATTAAGTGTTGTGCTAGATTTGTAAAAATTTTAATATTAACCTCAATGAAGCTATGTTGATCAAAGTTACGTTCCAAGCATCCAAATACACATGGAAATAACTCAAAAGTCAAAGCATGAAGCTTTCAAGTTGACTTGGACCTCAAAGGTCAAGAATGCAACTCAACGCTGAAGGAAGAAACCTAAAGCTCAATGATTAAGGCCAATACTTGAACAAATGGGTAGAAAGGTTAGTGAGTGCTTATGATTCATGTCAAAGTACTTATGAATTCTTTTTGAAGCTCATCTCTATAGGATCATACATATATGCTTCATTCATATCTTATTTTGATCTTTAAACCATCTAGAAATAGGTTACAAACTTCAATGGTCTATTCATACTTGACATAAATGGAGTACAAGGCCTAAGACATCTCAAAGGTGGTCCTTATTTGAATTTGGGAAGTTTTTAACCGCCTGGTATATCGATTGGTAGATGTCTTAAAACAAGGCAGTAGGTATGCATTTTAGAACCCACGTTTCAGTCTCCTAGTAGAAACTATTAACCTTCTGGTTTCATAAGTTCGGTCGACCAAAACAACCATTTCAGGCGACCGAAAGTACTAGGTTCGAAATGCAATGGCTAATTTTGCATTTAATGCTCTCCCAACTAAATCTAATAGCCATTTTCAACAGATTTTCTCTATAAATAAGGCTATGCATTTATGAGGAAGACTTGCAACACTTGAGAGACGTTTATGAGCATTTAATTCACCATTTGATTTCTCTCTCATTTCATTTAATAAACTCAAGTTTCAACTTGGTTTCATGTTTATTCTAGTCTTGTGAGCTTGTGATTTATATATCCATCTTTTGAGAGAGACATTTGTACACATAATCTTTTTATGAACTTCTTCAAAGGGTTGGCTTGACCCAAAGGGTTGGTGTAACCCAAGGAAGCCTAAAAGAAGATTTTTCTCTTAGCATCAAGGAAGGAAGCAAGTTTGCTTCGTTGTAAAGGTTTGCTTTCCATTCAAAAGTATAAGCCATATTAGATTTGGGAAAGTCACAAGAGGGATCTTAAATCAAGGAGTATGAATTCTGAACCTTGCTAAATCGTTGTGTGGTAGTTTGAAATCTTTCTTCCCTTATCTCATATTATATATATTTTGCTTGCTCTGTTCTATATTGTTATATTATCTTGCACATTTTATTGAGATATATGCTCAAGTCTTGAATATATTTTAATTCAAAAAATTAACCATTGTTTGTCAAAGACTCTATTCACCCCTCCTCCCCCTCTAGAGTAACAAAAACACCTATACAAAGAAAAGTCCAAGTAATAACTCGACACGTGGCGTAATACATCTCAATAAGGAATGAGGCACGTGGCAAGTCAAGTCAAAATCAAATTGAAGCAAATCAAGATTAAAATCAGTATTAGTAAATAGAATTATAGCCACAAAACCAATGGGTGTGGCCTAGCGGTATCAACCCCTTTCTTTCCAAAGAGAGGTCAAGGTTCAAACTTCAGTGGAGGCATGTGTGTAAGAGTACCAACTAAAAAAAAAAAAAAATTACACCCACATAAGAGAGAATTAAAGAGAAAAATCAACAAAGTAGTTGTAATATTTTTTGTACAAATAAGGGAAAAAAAATGTGAAGGAAAGGTGTCAACTGCTATTAAGAATTTTTTAGATCTAGAACTTTTTCCTAAGCAATAATAAAATTATTCATTCTCCTTTTAGTGTGTGAATTGCTTTCTTTGACTTTTCATAGCTTACAACTTTTTGAACTTACACTTTGGCACCATTTGTGGGAAACAAATGAAACATTCCTACAAAATTAATGGTAAACCTATGTTCCAAAATGGTGGCCAGAGAAGAAAGCTCATGCTAACAAGAAGAAGTTATGTAAACACGCTAGGAGGAAATGCAACAGCAATTCAATGCCCTGTGCAGAGATAATGAAGACTCCAAGCAAAGGTTGAATGAGCCAAAAGTCAAAAGAACCTAATTTCACCAATAGATGAGCATACTGAATCTAGTCACCCCTCCATTTGAGGCTCGCATCGAAATCAAAATCGGGCCATTCATCAGTAGAACATCCCAGTGAACAATCAACCGGGTTGGAAAGCCCAGATGCAATGGGAGATCGGTGTGCGGATCATGGAACTGAAAGCTCAGACTCATGCCAATTTGGTAACACAAATAGCCACCAAATTGACCCAGTCACCATTCACCAACGAGATCACCAAAGCCTGAAATAAAAAAAAGTTCATCATGGCATTCGATGGAATCCCTGCCTCTGCTTTCATTCTTATATATCTCAAGGAAAGTGATATCCAGACCAACTTGTTAGCCCTATTTGTCAAAGTGAAACAATTAAGGTCATTAATGACCTGAAGTAGGGCCTAAAATAGGGTCCCACTTCAGGCCTAAAATAGGGTCCCACTTCAGGCCATCAATGGCCTTAATTGTTTCACTTTGACAAAGAGGTCTAACTAGTCTGCTTGTCATGACTCATATCTCAATTCATTCTTCCTTGACATCAATTTAGTGCACTCTGTCTCGTTTGGCCATGTCCGAAAAATATCTCTAATAGATATGGATTGTATCTTCAAACTATATTGAGCCGATTATACTTACACCTAACAAGTTCTTCGAAATGTGATCACTACTAAATATGGGTTGTGTCGTTGAACTGTAACCGATTGTACTTGCACCTAACAAGTTCTTCGAGATGTATTGACATATGATTTGCCGAAAGGGTAAATAAAATTGTATGATCAAAGGCATACTACCTCACTTCACTAGTTTAGGTGTCAAAGGACATTAATTCTCAATTTTTATTTTTAATTTTGAGATTAATACTATTATATTTTGGTCATGAATTACATATGATTACAAAATTGAAATGGACATGGACTTTTAGGTTGCGTTTGGAGGACCTTTCAAAATAAAATTAAAAAAATTATAAAAAAAAAGTCCTTTTATTATAAGGGACTTATAGGAATGACTTCGTTGGAAGGAATTTGATAAAAAATAATAATAAATAAATAAATATAAATAAAAATAAAAAAACGTTTGGTGAGCAAGGTGTGACACCCCCAACATTTTCCACGCATAAGTTGATCAGGCTTATACACGAAAAACAAGGGATATCAAAAACAATTGGCAATATACAAGCATGGAATACAAAATGATGATAATAAAAGAATTTAGACAGGAAAGGAACACTAAATAATACAACATCCATTCATCCTTTATTTAAATACAGTACTCCATTACAACTTGGAAATCCTATATCAAGGATCCCTAAATATAAACCTAAGAGTTCAACGTCAAAAGTAAATAAAAACTGAAACTGAAGTAATACATAAAACTTCTACCTTGAACTGGATCGTAAGAGTAGATGAGTTCGGATGGTGGTCCCACACTGCTAACCTCAACCTTGGAACGGGTACTGACCGTATCCTGAAATAACAACAATGGTGGGTTAACCCCACGAGCAAGTCCTCTCTACTATGACCCAAATCAGAGAATCAAATAAATTAATCATTATGAATCGGATGAGTACTATATCTGTATACATCCTAAGGGAACTATCCAATGTATAACATGACCTCAACCAGAATAGACGGTGATCACTTAGACTCACACTAGGTGGTTAAGTGTTGCCTTTCCCTACCCGGGAAATCAGCTATTATACATGGTGCACGGTACTGACAACACAGACTATAACGAACTACACAATGATAACACCTCTCAAAGTACTGATGAATATACTGAGCATATAAATTAGGCAACACATGCCAATAATATTACTAAACATACTGAGCATGTCAATTAGGCAACACATGCCAATAATATTAAACCACATACCCCGACAGCCACACATCTGTCTATAGCAACGAATGCATAAGGTATAAATGAGTCTAAACTTATTAGCCAGCTCACATGGTTCTATATGGCAACACATCCATGTAATATAAATGCGACATAATTTAAACAGTCCATTTATTCTCTGAAATGCACACAGCATAATAATCATGGTTGATATATGATTAACAGTATAAATATCCCATAACATCTAATGGATAACTTATATGACGATAACCGTGACATTATTAACAGTACTAA